TAATAGCTTAATGGTCACGTCCCGACTGCGGAACATGAAGGTTCTGGGTTCAACTCTTGGTGAGGTCGTGGCTACACACTGCTAAGTAGTCCCGTGATATTGCGAAACACCTGTCCAGTACTTCCAGGTTTTCCACGACTCTCCAACTGATATCAGTGCATGATGGATACAGCCTTGAAATTAATGAATCCATACAAACCTCAAGATTAAGCCATTTTTATTAACTGGTCACTGGAGGTCAACTAACTTTATATTGTCTTCTGCTGAGTTCTAATCGAATTCTGCAGATCATTTTTTAGTTTAGCCATCAAGATACGAGACGCATCACCCCGATGCACTAGGATAGATGTTAGTTGAATAAAAGCGATCGCTAGGAGTCTCTGGACCTAGGTTTCAGGTTTGTTAACCGACATCTATCCCGGTGTATAGAGAAGGTGGCTGACTGAATCATCTAGTTTGATGGTTATATTGCAGAACAGTTGATGGGATTCAGGCAGCACTCACAGCTGGACAGCATAAATTTAGTCACCCTCTAGTAACCAGTCAATACATTCAGTCCATCAAGGGATCAATGGCAACCCGAATAGCTGATTGATAATGTTTCTCTCTGCAGGACCGAGTGGTGAGGGTTCGGATTTTAGGTGCAATATCAGTTTCAAGGAGGCTGCATAAACGGCTTGCTGACGGATACGGGTAAGCACTAAACATGGGCCAAGTTTTCCTGCTGATTGCGTCGATCCAACTAACAATGCCACTTGTCTTTGCAGTTTTCAACTCTTCCAACTGGCACAACTATTAATTCACACTATATTAAGATGTTCTCTTGCTCAATTTCTTTTTTCCATTCACGCTTTCAATCTACCTCACTGTGCTTCAAGGTTCATCTACATTTTTATGCAGCTCATACAAACTATTCATGCTGACAGACTATTGTTTCTATTTCTGTCCAGTGACAACCCAGTAACTTCACTAACTCAAATGCAATGCCATGAGACGGTGGTCTTCAAGTATAGTCAGTATATCCAATGAATCTAACCCCTTGGAAGTATGAACGTACTAGTTAGTCGAGTGTTTAATTAGTAGCTTAACAAGAAGGAGATAGTCTTCTGTACTTATTTGTAATCTAAAAAAGACTGGTTAAGCCAAGAGATATATTCCTTTTGAATTAGGTCTTCGTCCTGGCCTCTGCACTAATAGATAGTTTTACAATTCAATCAAAATACCAGTCAAGTGGTGGGGAGTTGGTGAACAATAATTACAGATTTTAAGTAAGTCATGAAGATGATGTTTTAGAAATTAAGATATAAATAACCAACGGAGTAATTAAAACTGGAAATATGAAACAGGTTATTCTTCGGTAAAAGGAGTGATTTTTGATGAGTGTTCAGTCATAAGCAATAAATAATTACGTAGCAATAAGAAAACAAACCCGGTAGTCGCTGGTTCGAATCCGGCTGCGGTTCAGATTTTCATCTCACTTTCAATCATCAACCAGCATAAATGTTGATAGAAACAAGTAGAGAAAGATGTGTACAAAATGATATTAGAAGTTACGTCATGTTGATCTCCACGTTGGTGAAAGTGGTCGAACAAACTTCTTTTGAATACAAAGGTTAGGTTTATAAAGGTGGATTACAATCGCCTCTGCTATGTGAAGTAAGCAAGTGTGTAATCCAAGTGGTAAATTAGTCGGAATTTGATGTCTTTTGTCAACTAAGTGTGCAAGTATGGAGCTCTTTATTGTACTAATTTATCAATTGCTCAACCATGATGAGTGGTGCTCAGAAATTCGATGGACCTGCTTCGTTGCACGCCCAACGTAACTAGCTCCACAGGAGCAGCTGAATTGATAAATCCACATAGAAATGACAGAATCAGATAGTTTGTTTTTATTTCTTGCAGTTGGAATCTCGCGGTTGTAAAAGATAGGACAACTTAGCGGTTGGGGATGCTTTTTGCAAGGCTGTTCTTAGGCGTTGTGAGATGATCTCACTGGCAATATCACTCTTAAATTTCAGCTTCAATAAAATTTGCTTCTTAGAGACTGTTGGCGTTGTTGTCTTAAACCTCGTAACATTCATATGCTTCGTGACAAACTTCACTGGATAGCCATTTCTACTAAGCAGGTTATGGATGGTAGCGAACTCTTCCTTTATAGCATTGACTGAGCAAACAGCTGTGGCTCAGTATGCTAGGCATTTCACTAGGTTACTTTTGTGTTGGAGGGGTACGGCACTAAAGAAGTGTGTGTTGATGTTGGCTCTCTATATACACTTTATTTCAGAGTTCAATCTAACCTTCTTACTAGCAGAACATTAAGGATGGGATACTGTCATTTTTCTCTTCTTCCATTGTGAAGTTGATTGCCACAATCTCTGTTTTGCGACTTATTAGGTATAGCTATTATATTTAAGGTCTGCTTCAGGCAACAATAGGTGCAAATCTGATCGTCTCAAACAGCAAATCTAACATCGAGATATGGAACCTTAAAGTGAATGAAGTTATTTAGATTGTCTTCCTGGAATTCCAGCTCAATTATTAATGAAAGCAGTTATCTATTTTACTCCATTACCATTAGAGTTAGTGGTTTATAGGCAGTCATGTCGTTCAAAATTACCTACCGTTTGTTGATGGTACTTTTGTGTCATTAATCACACTACATAATCTTGGTTGAGTGGTGTTCAATGAAATTCCCGTTAATACCACCTTAGGGTAGTTGAAAATTATCCGGCTGCAAGAAATGTCAACTTGGAATGCACAATTTGTAAATAATTTGCAAACTGGTCATCCTATCTGTTATGATCATGGTATCAGAGGAAGGGAGTTTGATTAATAAGGAAGAAAAGTGATTACATATAACTTCGAATCCGCATAGCTAATAATAAGCATCTTCTAGTGTTTAATGTTTCCTTGGTGACTTGTGATTACTAAAATTAAGTCCTCTCTATGACGATGGCAGCAAAATTTGCGTGATCGTAAGTGACCGTCTAAAAGTTTTTGTTTTCCAACGTACACATTAGATATTATCTAGGGAATGGAGATATTACTTAGTAGATATTGAATGTTCCAATTTAAGTGTATAGGTTTCATTTCAGCAACTATATGATGGTAAAAAATTAACAAATATACATGAAGTTGTAATAAATATGTGTGTAGAAGTGAGTTTGCTATGACTAATCACACGCTTGCACATCCGGATATCAAGACATTAGATAACAATCCATGACGTACACTCAACGATAAGAATACGGTGTATACTTTGTTTTGCTTGAAGAAACTACGAGCACATACGCAAGTAACTGTTATAAACTGACAGATATATATTGATAGAATGTGTTTATATGTACTCGAATTAAATCTATTTTATTTATTTATTTATTTATTTTCAAACCAGTTTCATTCACCATTCGATGTTGGATATACCGTTCAACTGATAAAAAGTTAATTTTAAGAACTCAAGGTTTTTATACTTGTAGTTCCTAGCCAGCAAACGTGTAAAGAACATCCGTCTAAATATAAAATTTCTTCTGCATTACTTGGAAATCTAAAATGGGTTTTTCACATATTAAAGACTAAAATCTATGCATTTAGAAATCGTTATTTACGTTCTACAGCATACCCGAATATTAGTAACCCTATCAGTAGCATTTACACTTGTATCACAGTTATTTATAGACAAAACGTTTTTGCGGATTTTATTCTTTTTTCTGAAGATAAATTAACTTTTAATCCTCAGAGAAATTTTCCGCAGCACAGTATCCTGTCTGAATAAAGAAGATTGACAAGTTTGTTTACAGTCATGTAGCTTTTAAATCTTACGTATTCAGACAGCTTGGTTCTATTACAGTTCATCTGATTTATTCGTCACTGAGCGACTGTGGAAGAATGTCAGTACACTTATGAATGGCATGATCATTTAAACAAGTATTACACATAAATCTAATTTTAATTTCCCTTGTTTGACTAACTTTTATATTTACTGATGTAAGGCTATGTTACATCCATCTTCACAACCCACTGTAGCTCAATCTCCAAGTGCAAGCAAAACTACACACCAACTCGTAATGAAAAATACTAACCTAAACGTTCATCAGAGGATTCCTCACATTATTCAAAGATCCCTTTCAACTGAAATAATAGGTGAGTGATTTTTTCAGCTTTTTGGGTTGTTTCCGAAAGAAGCTGAGAAGTCTGTCAGCGTGATGCAGTGGAATTAGTTGACTTTATTTGCACAGCATGCTTGAGTTAAGCGTCCGAATGTTATCAAGCATGTAATGTGTATAAGGTCGACTAAAAGATGATTGTATGGAAAGTAGTGAATAGTACAACTTTCCATGGACTAGTATCACAATATAGTCTGTTAACATTCCTATTCTCTTCATAAAAATTTAATTCATTACAAACTTCATTTACTATAGTGACTATCACTTCATAAATACCCAGTGATGATAAATGCTTACTCACAAAATATAACTAGCAACTTGATAGGCGTTAGCTGGATAGGGATAGACACCAGGAACCCTCCATTCATCTGTCTAGCATCTATCACAAAGCATCGCGATGCCGAGCCGCATAGTCTGATGGCCACATTGCAAAATGATCGATAGAATTAGATCAGCACTTAGGACTGCATAACATGAAGTAGGTTCCCCTCCAGAGACTGATCAATATAACTAGCAATCACGTTTTGGTACTCCTGTAAGCAGATTTTAGGAAGCAGGAAACATAAGAATACTAACAGAGCCTATTTTCATCATCATGCATGACAGATAGATGAAACAATTAATGACTAAGGTGTGAATAAAGTAAAATAGCTCATCTAATTTGTCACTCAATCTTAAATCCGCAAAATATAGGCTCACAACCAGCTACTATCCACAATCTTATTCATCATTATCTTACAAAGATAAGTTTTCCTAACCGGGAAATTCAATGGAAGTTTTATTAAACCCTGATGTATGATTATATGTTTGGCACGATAAGTAGACAATATAACTTACAATATCTGCTTTGTGTGTGATACTGGAAATCTGGTACACCAGAAGTGGGATTCTTCTGAGTTTCACAGTCATTATTATTGTTCCTAGAAATGTCATGCGAATTAGTGCGGTAATAAGGATCATTTGGTTGATTAACACTATCTTCTATACCCAGTATACGGTCCAATAATTGATTATTGAAAAGTCTAGTAAAAAAAGGTGATATCTTGTTTGATACGTTTTCCATATCTTCTTTTAAATGTCGTTTAGCAGTTAAAATAAAGTCCACTATGAGTATTTTTAATCGTGTTGAGTGTGTTCAAATTCAATCTAGATTTTTGCGACTGAGAGAGGCTGCTGGGTGCACGTGAACCTTCGGTGATTATGGCTACGCTTCATTTTCTGAAGACAAAGATTTATACTTCAAATAAACATTTTTGTCTCCTAGTAACACATGCATTTTGGATGAAGAATACGGTCCATGATTTTATTTGACCCTAGTAATGAGGATAATTGGAGGAAATGTTGTCTATGCTGCTCCTACTAATTTTATTTACTACTAACATTACTGACAGTAGTGGTATTGGTTGATTAGCTGTTAGTGGAAGGATATTTGATTGGTTCATTGATTCTCATTTCTAATTTTCTCATATGAGGAACAGAAATAAATATATATTATCTATATATACATTAGCGCATGCAGACAAGTATAAGCCGTCACTTGGTGTACGTAGTTATCACAAAAAGTTTTTTTGCAAACCATTTATTTTCTACAAATGAAGCTTTCTGATATTACTCCTGATGTTACGTCTCACTACCTTTTCGAAGTGAAGTTGAAAAGGATGATACGTCGAGAAAATATCATACGTAAAAAATAATAACTTCAATAATGAATTGTATTTTATTTCCTCCAACTTTTCTGACAAACAAAAGGTTATTAAATAGACGATCTGATGTAGATTTCAAGACTAGTTTTCTCGCAAACCTACAAGCCAAAGAATAGTGTAAAAGCTGAGCAATGATGCAAGACAGTCACACGTATTTAGGGATAGTGCTCAATTACTTCCTCATTCCCTGGAAGACGGACTAACATTCAACTCAACAGTAGTAAATTTACACTTTACTGTTACTTAAATGCACCAACATGGCTACAGAGTTTAGCCACCTTATTTATTTCTAACATAACTCTTTCAAAGATTATTTACTGATACCGATACTGATAATCACAGGCAGCAGTGGTGCTGGTCTGAATGCTTTGGAGTTCAAAATCCTCACACACAGAATACTCATGTTTTTGGTACTTGTAAGAAGCAGCATGCCAAAAATACTGAAGAATATCTTTACCTGGAAATTCATTTGGCCGACATGAAAGTGTGAAAAAAGTGTTATCAGTCTGAAATTAGGTTCTAATTGCAGTGTTAATTTTTTACAAGTAAATTTCACTATAATCCTACTGTGTTCAGAAAGCCAAAAGATTTTTCTGAACTTTTCACTGAGTATCGCATAGCTTCACTGTAATGTTCAGAAAACTCTTTTGACTTTCTAAACACGCTGGGACTATATGAAAATTTACTGATATAATGATTAAATCAAACTCTGAGTTCAAATTCTTCTTTTAGGTAATTCGTAACAACTATGAACTGAATATTGATAATAATAATAACGTTAATTTTGATGGTGTTGTATTCTGTTAGCTGGATTGTTTAGTCTTGAACCTTCATTGTCATCCTAGCCAACATCATCAGCATAAACCAAGCGTTAATTTGTTTGCTATTTGCTGCTGCCTGACAGAATGAATCATCAACATTCATGCAGCCGAGTAAACTTCAACTTCGCAATGAGTCTAAGTAAAAAGTGAGTAATCGTTTGTACTTTAATTTTTAGTTAACTTGATTCTACTGAGAAATTGAGGTGAATATATTTCACGGTTGAATTTCGATTCATAAGAAGAGCAGAATTTATAACAGGTAGAAGATGTAATTCGTTTTCAAAGTAACTGTCCTGACTAAGATTACTTTGCCGCTCGTAGACAATAATGACGTTCATAGAAAAGCATATCACTTTTGAGTTAATCAACTCAAACTTGAAATCAGAGTTAGCAAGATGTAATTCTACCTGTTTGCAGAAATATACTTAAATGAGTGAATGGCTGGAAATCCTTACTAATATCAATAAAAGTAACTACCTGCTGTTTAAATCATGCTAACAGGTTTCGTAGACAGTACTGTAATGTTCTCAAGTATTCCCTTTGATTTACTGCGCGACACTGAAGAGTTACAAAGTGAAACACCGTTTCAAAATGTCTACATAACAGACTAGAAAACTATATATTTTGTAAATAAATGTAATAATACTTGTAGACAGTTGTAGCTGGTTAAGATGTCAGACAAATCTCCAATCACCCAGAAAAATTGTCTTTCCACAAGTTATGCTTATTAAACAAATGATTTCCCTTACATTCAACCAATTTATTCTATCTATGTATACAAGGTCAATTAAGCTGCATTTCGTTCTCACTGTGCTCTTTTCATTGTAATTATTTATATATTTTTTTGGGATAGTCATGCGCGAGAATGGCTATTTTCTTCTTATTTTATTGAGAGTGCTGTCTTTCTTGTAAATAATTTGGTAGAGTATTTTGAAATTTAAATGCATTTCACTATATATATATATATATATTTCAGATAAATGGTCCACTTGTTATTCCTTATCATCTTAACTTCCCATTTCAAGCGCTATACTATGGTATGCTTTAATCGAACTATTCGATATATGAGAAGCAAGTTCATGACCACTGAATGTAACAACCATATGATGAAGGTGTCTGATATAGAAAGTGACCACTTGGTGGCCATACTGGAAGTCTGATGAACAGATTTCTATCGACCTTTTGGAATGGACGAATGACAGTGATAAGCAAAAGATAACAGTCGTTGGCGAGAATCTGTAATATCTAAAGTAATTAAATTTTATCAGTAAAAAAAATACCTGATTCGAGGCCCTAACCAGCAAATATTTTTGATAGGTGTCGCATGCACATCAATTTTAGAATCTCAAGGGTGAATAAACTTGGCTAGAAAATGCAACAGCTATATGCCTAGAAGTCATTAAACATTTATCAGTGGGAATGAAGAATTTCTGTAAATTTTATCATCAATAAACAACGATAAATGAATATTAATGAAGGAAAATAAACCGAAATCGGTCTATCATGCCAGTATAGTGTACAATAAAATTGCCCAGATCTGCATAAAAAGCCCCAAATCCTTAAAGCTCTCCACAACTAATCATGATACGTCAAAGTTTCGAAGAACATCACGCGAACCTACATGTAAATATCGGACTGGTTGATGAGGTAAAATTCAACAGAACATACAATTCTAGAAAGGCCTAGGAATAGTCAAGGTCAATGTCAAGATATAGATAAACCTGAACGTATCCTAACCAACAGTCCACTGGATTGTTTGGGACAACTTAGGCACTGAGTTGACATGATTCATTGTACAAGGTATATTTTACATGCGTAATCCTAGTGTAGTATATCAGAACAAATAATAAAATAAACAAATATTCTGTATTATTCCTCAACTTTTCGAGCTTGCTATGACGATTCTGTATGAAATTCATACCCTGAGAACTAAATATATTCATTTACTTAGAGGTAGTATTCATCATGGGCTGACATCAATTGGTGAACCACTGAAAACCGACCTAGTGACTCAACTGTTAACGTGTTCGCCGTGAAACCTGAAGGTCATGAGTTCGATTCCTAGCTGGATCGTGGGTGCGTACCGTCGAGGCTTCCCATACTAGGACAGAACAGCTGTCCAGTGCTCCCAGATTTTCAATGGTTCCCCAACTGATGTCAGTCCATGATGAATACTACCTCTGAATTAAAAATCCCCATCCATCTCAAAAATAAATTATTTATTCATTTATTTTCATGAGTATGAATCGAACTTTAATACTCAAGTTTTGGTAAAGAAGGTGACCTTTATAATCATCGAATTACATCGTGATATGAAACAAAGATCAATATAATGTAGGTGAGTGAACAAGTGAATCAGTCAGAGAGGCTTTTACTTGTTGTCCAAGTAAGGGTGCACAAAAATAGTAAAAGTTAGAGACTCCCATAGACAGTTCCAAATAAAATCCAAAGTGAAGGTGGAACACAACTTTATTTCACCGTATTCCACATGATTTATTTCGAACGTATTCATCTTTAGTAGTGATGGGTAGTGGCTAGTAGTGGAATTCAGGATGCGCATTTCGTCCTATTTGGGACTCGTCATCTTTGTATGTTTTGCGGTGTTATTTAGCTCAGTCATCATAATCTCTTCAAAAAGTATTGACTTTAACAACTTATAGAATCTTACTGCATAATAATACTTTATGATTTACTATATTCATCACCTTTATGCCCCTTTCTGAGCTATATATATTCTACGAACCAGTCTATATATCACAAAGTCTATTTTGCTACCATTCATACTTCAAATGTTTTCATAATTATAAGTACCTTTATCGTTATCACTATTGTTATCATCACTATTACTAATACTATCATTGTCATTAATTATTTACATGGATTGATTTTCAAATATTCATCTTTATTCTTTCTCACCCGTGATGACTCATGATGCTTTTCACAGTCAAACTATATCTCCTTGCCCTATTTTTGTTCCACATCGCTTGCACAACTAGAAAAAGCTTCTCTGAGGGTGGGGCTAAGAGTTATCTTCAGGTGTTACAGCATTCTGTCTGAAAATATGTATTTTGTGTTCTGTACTTTCCGTCTAAGAAGTGGAAGTGCAGACACTTCACACACGAACAAACGGTTTTAAACACAGTTCAGTGATAGAGGGCATTGTAAAAACTATGCAAACGAGAAGAATATTAAAGCAGAACACAGAAGCTGCTCGTATTTCCACAAACAACACTACAACAAGTGGTGAGCACGATAACATCTAGAGATAGATTTTAGCCTCGCCCCTCTTTGACCGATATGCTAACTCACTCACCTATATTGTATTGATCTTTTTTCCATATCACAGTGTAACTAGATGATTATGAAGATCACCTTCTTTGCCAAAACTGAACATTAATATTACTATTACTGATATACTTGTAATTCTCCGCTGTTTATTGGATCGAATTGTTCGACCTCTATTTGTATATGGGCTCTTATGCGGATGCCTCGATATTACCTAAATATTAATAATGATAACTTGGTTGGTTGTGGCCAGCAGAGGAAACCATGACCCATATTTCATCCTATTTGGGACTCGTCAGCTGGATGTACATGCATCTACTTACATTAACGTCTAGACAATATCAAGGCATCCACATAGGAGCCCATATGCAAATAAAGGTCGAACAATTCGATCCAATAAAACAACGGGGAATTACAAGCGTATCAGTAAATAATAATAACTAATACTCGTTGTACAGGGGGTGGCTATCGTGCTCCAGTGGCCTAGTGGATGACGTGTTGGCGTCTGAAGCGATGGGTATGAGGTTCGAG